TTTGAAGAAAAAAATATGAACAAATTCGTATGCCCCACAAATAACCCAGAGATGCATTTTAAATAAAAGCACACATTCTACTCATGTAAAAACACCAGGCAGGCCTCACAAATAACCCAGAGATGCGTTTTAAATAAAAGGACACATTCTACTCATGTAAAAACATGCTAATTCCCGGACCGTCTGCAGGCCAGATTTAGAAGGCGATTGGGCCGGATCTGGCCCCTGGGCCTTAGTTTACCTACCCATGGGTTAGAGTTAGGCATAGAGACTTGCTTAAACTTGCTGGTGTCAATGGTTAGAAGCTGGAATCAGCCCAAATCTTTTTTTTTTTTTAAATAATATTAATTTTATGGAACACAATATACGTTTAGGATTGAGAATATGACTTAAGAGCCGTAATATATTCTTGTGAAGTCCATGTTAATGTCATACATATTTATTTATTAATAAGATGCACCTAATAATGTTTTTTAAAAAAATTGCATCCATCCCAGAACTTCCCCCTCCCCAGTATAATCCTCAATCGCTTTTTACAGTTGCAGTTTATTTACACTTAAAAGTATATTGATTATTTCATACAGTGTGCAATAATTTCATATGGTCCTTATACCAAATTGTTTTGGTCTTGCTTTCTCAAGCTGTTTGAGCCTCAGATCTGCGGCCAGTTGCTGAGAGGTGGCTGTGAATATGAAGAGGGCCTCTATTTCATCAAATAGATCTCTACTGTAAGCTTTAACAGCAATAAAAATGGAAGAGACTGGGGGGGGGGAGATCCTATCATTCACTGGAAAGGAGTTTACCCGTCTGCAGTAAGCTAAAACCTCCGGCTCAACTTCCGCTCAACATCTGGTTTAGCGATTCCTTGAAAAACAACACAATATTCCCTGCTGATTGCAGTACAACAACACAAACTTCTCCAATGCTGCCTGATAGCAGGAAATGCCCTGCTGAGCTGCAGACCTTAACCCCATGTACGTTCAGTACCTTTCTCCCATGCCAGTCTGAGAGCACTCTCAATTGCACATTAAATGCTCTGAAGCCGTCCTCGTGGGATTCTCAGAGGGCAATTTTGCTGAAATAAGGAAATCGACAGGAAAGTGGGAAAGACAGATAAGCCTGGTCCTTGAAAGAGTGCTCTTGCGGAGAGGGCAGATGCTTTCTCGATGCTGAATCTACAACAAAAAAAGTCATCTTCCAGCTTTAAACGTATCAGGAAGGGTAGTGGGGACATACGCACTCCTTGCACCCTCTGTGTCACTATTCCTGCCACATTCCAACCTGTGAAAAACCACAGCAGAAGTGTGGGCCCTTTTGAATTGACAAAGGTTGAAAAACTGGGGTTCTGCAAAGATTTTGTATTGGGTGCTTTAGTCTTCTGCTCTAGCTCCTTTACTTTCCTGAGCAGACTTTGGGGGATTTGAGTGATAGTGAGTATTTATCAGAATTCAGAGACTATTTTGATCCTGTCAATTCAAAATGCATGCTCTGCTTTAGTCCTTATTTTCTTCAAGAGGGAAAAGGAAGAAGAGTTTATCTGATTTTTCCTCCTTACCTTCAGAATAAAACTTTAGAAGGTAATCTTTCTAATGGCTCATAATGGCCACATTGTAGGCATTCCTTAAAACCCAGGGATGCTCAAGCTGAACAGAAGTCTATGCATGTACAGAGATACCTCAGGTTACAGACACTTCAGGTTACAGACGCTTCAGGTTACAGACGCTTCAGGTTACAGACTCCGCTAACCCAGAAATAGTACCTCAGGTTAAGAACGTTGCTTCAGGATGAGAACAGAAATTGTGTGGTGGCAGCGTGGTGGCAGCGGGAGGCCCCATTAGCTAAAGTGGTACCTCAGGTTAAAAACAGTTTCAGGTTAAGAACAGACCTCCAGAACGAATTAAGTTCTTGACCCGAGGTATCACTGTATTATATGGCATCTCCTTTTCTTCCTGCCAAACAAGATCACCACTGTTGGGAGTTGGAGAGAACAGAAGAGTCCATCTTGGGTGGACTTGTTGGGTTCTCAATCTTTTTCTCCCTAACCCAACAGAGCTGTCAGGGCTCTGGAGGCTAGGCTCCAAACCAATGGTTTCAAGTTACAAGAAAGAAGATTCTGACTAAACATATGAAAAAGCTTTCTGACAGTAAGAGCTGTTCGACAGTGGAACAGACTGCCATGAGGTTTTTAAGCAGAGGTTGGAAGGCCATCTGTCATGGATGCTTTAATTGAGATTCCTACATTGCAGGTGGTTGAACTAAGGTTGAACTAAGCCCGGCTTCGGCTGGGGAGGGTGGGATATAAATGAAATTTATTTATTTATTTATTATTATTATTATTATTATTATTATTATTATTGTAAAGGACCCTTGGACAGTTAAGTCCAGTCAAAGGAGACTATGGGGTTGCAGTGCTCATCTCGCTTTCAGGCTGAGGGAGCTGGCGTTTGTCCAGAGACAGCTTTCTGGGACGTGTGTCCAGCATGACTAAACCACTTCTGACACAACGGAACACCATGCTGGAAGCCAGAGCACATGGAAATGCCGTTTACCTTCCCGCCACAGCGATACCTATTTATCTACTTGCACTGGCGTGCTTTTGAACTGCTAGGTAGGGAGGAGCGGGGACAGAGCAACGGAAGCTCACCCCGTTGTGCGGATTTGAACTGCCAACCTTCTGATTGGCAAGCCTAAGAGGCTCAGTGGTTTAGACAACAGTGCCACCCACGTCCCTTGGGTTGAACTAGATGGCCTTTGGAGTCCCTTCCAACTCCACAATTCTATGATTCTGTTAGGCACTGGGACCTACATACGCTCTATACATTTAAAGCACATTTAAATCACATGACCTCCCTCTATGAATCCTGGGAACTGTAGATTACTTGTACCCTCCAGTTCCCAGGATTCTTTTGGGGGAATACATGTATTTTTAAAGTGCTTCCATAAGTGTGTAGTGTGTATGAAGCCATAATGTGGGAAAGGGGATGCCTCATGCTTTCACACATGCAAAAAAGCACATCATGTTTCACGTTGGATAAGGCCAAAGCAGTCTTCCACATGACCAATGCATTCAGACTGGTCTATTTTAGAATCTCTAAACATTATTAAAAATATACTGGTACTTCCTTCACAAAGAAATAAGGAGAAAGGGTTCGAGACAAAAGCAACGTATTTCTTAGGTTAGGAAATACTCCACTTCTGAGCAGTTTTTAATCTTACTTGCTGAGCATGAGGCACAACCTGTTTTATATGTAAGCATGGCTGTTGTTTATTTAAAAAAAAAATGTGAGGAAGGGAACTATCAAACTGTCCTGCCAAAGCCATTTCACACACACACAAAACACTTCCAAGACTTACAATGAGAACAAAATAAAATGCTCACATTTCCAAATATCAACGCTTCTGAAAGGCAGAATGAAGCAACAGCCTTTGTCGCATCCTCTAGACTTGCAGAGCCCCATCTGTGACAGCGTAGCCTCGTGGACTTTATTGGGAGGAGGTTCCAGATGTAATTTCAGTGGGGAAACTGAACAGTAAGGCCTGAGTTTGTGAACTCATCCAGAGAGTGACCAGTTCAGACATTCTGCCTGACACATTGTCAAAACAGGAAAGGGCAGAAGCCGTCACAGCTCCTAACTACCCTCATAGACTTCAGTGGAAAGTGCTACTGAACTCCCATGAGCAGTGAATCACATGGAAGGGCAACTCTCCTGGATGCTGTAAGTTTGATAATAATAATAATAATAATAATAATAATAATAATAATAATAATAATTTATTATTTATACCCTGCCCATCTGGCTTGGTTTCCCCAGCCATTCTGGGCGGCTTCCAACAAAAGATTAAAAATACATTAAAACATCAGTCATTAAAAACTTCCCTACACAGGGCTGACTTCAGATGTCTTCTAAACGTCAGATAGTTGCTTATTCCTTTGACATCTGATGGGAGGGCATTCCACAGGGCGGGCGCCATTACTGAGAAGGCCATCTTGCTGGTTCCCTGTAACCTCACTTCTCGCAGGGAGGGAACCGCCAGAAGGCCCTCGGAGCTGGACCTCAGTGTCTGGACTGAACTGGGGGTGGAGACGCTCCTTCAGGTATACTGGGCTAAGGCCGTTTAGGGCTTTAAAGGTCAGCACCAACACTTGAATTGTGCTCGGAAATGTACCGGGAGCCAGTGTAGGTCTTTCAAGACTGGTGTTATGTGGTCTTGGCAGCCGCTCCCAGTCACCTGTCTAGCTGCTGCATTCTGGATTAGTTGTAGTTTCTGGGTCACCTTCAAACACACAAATGTGTACCCCATTTGTGGGATGTATTGCTAGAGCATTCAAGTACAACATTTCCCCATTGCCTAGAATGGACACGCAGGGAGTGTGGCTCCAAACAGGGAGGACTTCCTATCATACCTGTTGGGAGCCTCCTCCCCCTGAGTGTGACCAGGTAGATGGGCGTGGCCCTAGCTGACCAATGAAAAGGGCTGGCCCTGCAGCCCTCTTTCTCTTTTGGACTTCCTCTGTTGGCTCTTCTCTTCTAGATCTCTACTGCTCCTGGCTCTTAGCCAGCACATGGCTTATCCTTCACAGAGGATGAAGGCCACAAGTAGCAAGTCTGAGATTTAGCTCAGACTTCTTTTCTCTACAAATAAAACTACAACCACAAGATACAGCCTGCCTTCAGATTACAGCTGTGGACTGAACGTGATGAAAATAGGGACATCCTACCACACCCTCTAACATTTATCCACTGAAAACAGAGACATCCTAAGGAAAAGCAGGGCATTCTGGGATGAAATCAGAAACCGGGACAGCTTCTCTAAATCACGGACATCCCTGGAATGCTGGCTTTGGTGCCGATTCCCTGAAAGTGCTTGCAAGATCTCACCTAAATCTCATGAGATCTTTTGTTCTCCTTGATATCTTGCAAGACTTTGATGAGATCTCACAAGATATTGCAGGAAATCAGCACCTATGCAGTACTGGGACCGCTTCTCTGGCAGAGGTGGGGGCCTGAAAGGAGGCACCCATGATGAAGGTGCTGCTGTAAGAAAAACACTGGGGCCTAATTTGAATAGTAGAGTGCTGGTTATCTGGTGGGCAGGGCTTGTGCTTTAGCAATAAAACTGCTTTTCAAGGTACAGACAAAACTAGATGCTTCTCGTGTGGAAAAATAGGACATTTTGCAAGGAACTGTACAAAACAAAGTGGCACTAATAAAGAAAAGTTCCAGGGTGGTGACAGAAAGAAAACTAAAAGTGCTTTTGTAGTTCATCAGAACTATCTAGCAATATCAAGTTATAGGAAAACTGGTGCTGTTAATATTACACCTTCTAGTCGTTAATTGAGTCGGCAGCTTCCATGCACATGACGTGTGATGCTAATTTTTTTCAGAGCGTTAAATGAAAACTCATCAAAGACAGTTACAGTTGCAAATTGCAACAAAATAGCTGTGCAAGGAAAAGGAGCAGGTTTGCTCAAGTGTGTTGCAGGTAGAAATACTGATAGTAATGAAGTGAGAGATGTAGTTTTCTTGCTGAGTTTGCTGAGTGTGTCAACCCTGACCAAGCATGGTTTTAATGTAAATTTTCATCACAACAAATGTACAGTTACCAAAGCTAGAGTTTTGTATGCACAAAAGTCTTTGTGGAGTCTTTGTGCTGGATACTGGTCAAGAAAGAGTGAATATGGTGAAGAAGAATTCAAGTGCAACTTGTGTTCATCTGTGGCACAAAAGGCTAGCACATAGAGGCTTCAGGATTATAGCAGACCTGCCAAAGAAAGATTTGGTGAGAAGAATGGAAATTAAACCTTGTAAAGTTGACCTGGATAGTGAAATATGTGAAAGTTGTTTGGTGGGAAAGGGAACAAGACCTTCTATCTCTAAGCAAAGCCAGAAAAATTCAACAGAGCCTTTGCAACTTATTCATCCTGATATATGTGATCCAATTCAACCGATGTCTCATGGGGGAAACAACAAAATGGGGAAACATTTCTGCTTGTATATGTAGATAATATAATTTTGGTTACTGAGAACAAGCAAGATTGTGCAAAAATTGTTGAATGTTTAAATGAGAAAGTTTTGAGAATCTACATGCTAGATTAAAATTGATTAATTTAAATTAGACACATTGAGAATGGGATGGTAAGAAGAACACTGGGGCCTAATTTGTACAGTAGAATGCTTGGTATCTGGTGGGCAATCTCATCCTTTATTTCCACACTGTGACTCCAGACCAAATCATCTGTCAGGAGAGCTGGCCAGGACAGCTTTCCTGTTACACCTTCTGGGTTTGGTGAGGCATGTGACCCCCCACTTGTCCTGAGTCTACTCCAGCTGAGGAATCACATACCTACTCCCCAAGCTAGCGAGCCCCACCTGGGTTGTGGGTCCTTGCCTGCCTTTCCTCAGAACGAACAGCTGTAAATTCTGGAATCCTGAGATCAGGGGTGGTTCATCCCATTTTGCCACTTGAGGCAAAACAGGACGTGCCACCCTGCTCTGCCACACCACCACCACCCATGGGACACTCACCAGCACTGTGCCACCTGCCACTGGCATTGCAGATGTACCATACCCTCCAACATTTCTCTGATGAAAATAGGGATATCCTAAGGATCAAATCCAGAAACCGGAAGGGCTTCTCTAAATTAGGGACGTCCCTGGAAAATAGGGACACTTGGAGGGTGTGCAAGTCCTGATTCTTCTGGCAGATCACCCTAGCTGGATCGAGGCAACATTCTGTAACATTCTGCATCTCTCTTGGAAATGAGATCTGTTTGTTTTTTCTGGGACTTAGCTTTGACCTTGACCGTAAGATACTGCTGCAAGTACTGAATAGTTCTTCTATGAGGGTGATAGGTTGGCAGCAAAAGGCTGCCAGGCAGTCTTTGAAAGCACACTGGAAGTTCTGTTTGTTTCCATCTTTTTGAAAACGACTGCCTAAAAGCACAAATAATTGAGCAAACACGCTGTGTAGGCAACAGCGCAAAATAAATAAATAAACGCACTTGCGAAAAGGAGAAAATTAAAAATCCTCTCAAAGATTATCAAGAAGCACAGCTTGTTTCTGACGCAATGTTATCGTTCCCCAGTCCCTCGGTGTTCAGATGGTCACACGCAGATCCTCCTCACAAGTAGTCCAGGGTTGAAACATGTCCACTTATCTTAACTCTAAGTGACACTGTGGGGAAGGGGAAGACTGGGGAGGGCGGGGGGGTGGTGGTGAGAGAAATCATTACATCATACTCACAATAGATCCACATAAGTTAATCCTGTCCATTCATTTCAGTGTGTCTTCACTGAGTAGAACTATCATTAGATATAATTCCCTCAAAATTTTCTTACCCTTTACGGTGCCACAAGAGCCAATGCTTCTTTATTTCAAAAATCTAAAATGGCTATCCCTCTAGCAAATTATTATTTACAGTACACCTTACTCTTCTTCCAAGGAGTTCAGAATACCATGCATGACCATTGCATTGTTGTAATAATTCTTAAATGAAACACAGTGCCTAGTTGAAAGCCACTGGTGAGATTCATGGCTGAATAAGGATTTGAAATCACGTCTCCCCTGTCTGATACTCTAACCACTACAGAACACTGCTTTTGGTAAGAAAGGCAAGACTTAAATGTGTACATCTTTTGATATTGTCAATAATTTAACAAATAAACCTAGAGTAGGGCTGCCATATGTCCAGATTGTCCCGGACATTACCGGGATTTCAAAGACAGAACTGATGTCTGAATAGTCGGAATTTCTGAATAGTGGCACTTTATACAAGTCAATTGAAAATTCATGTGTGTTTTTTTTAAAAAAATATTTCTTTATTTTCATGGTTTCCTAAAAGTAAGCTCAACAATACTGGGGTCTTCCTAAAAAAAAAGCTCAACACTCAACAACTTTTGGGATGTGCTGGTTTTTTAAATGTATTTTTAATCTTTGTTGGAAACTGCCCAGATGGGCGGGGTACAAATAAATTATTATTATTATTATTATTATTATTATTATTATTATTATTACTTTTTGAAATATTGCAACCATAACCTAGAGGATATTAATTTTATCACATTCTGGGGGTGTACATCCTAGCAGTTCGAAAGCACATCAAAGTGCAAGTAGATAAATAGGTACCGCTCCAGCGTTTCTGTGCGCTGCTCTGGTTTACCAGAAGCGGCTTAGTCATGCTGGCCACATGACCCGGAAGCTGTACGCCAGCTCCCTTGGCCAATAAAGCGAGATGAGCACCCAACCCCAGTCGTCTGCGACTGGGCCTAATGGTCCTTTACCTTTACAATTCCTGGATAAAATATGTAGTTTTGTTGTTGCTAGTGACAAGGCATTAAAAATCAGGTTTAATTTGTCTCTGTAGATTAAATAAAACAAGAGGATGAGTGGAACATAGAGAATATTGTATGCCAATGTACAACAGAGCAGTTGTTTCTTTAGGAGTGACAGAAACTTCACCCACTCCTGAGCATTTGAGCATGGGGAAAACTTTGTAGCATTCAAAAAAGGCTGAACGTTGTCATGCAATAAATGTGTGGCTTAAAGTGGACAGGTTAACAGATAACCTTCAGTCTGGTCAAAACAGTTTTAGGCTATTCTACTTCACAAACCACCACAATTAAAGAGTCCTTCCTGTGATTTCTTTGTGGCTTTTTGGGAAAACTTTCTGAACTGGGGTCTGTTCAGAGATAGGGAAGCTACAGCATTTTAGTCACATGACTGAACATAAGCCTGAACGGTTTCATGTTGAAACAGAATAGTTAGCTCCGTAAATGGAATGGAAGAGGTTACATGTAATTCATTACATTTGAAAATAAAATAAAAGGTTCATTATGATGATTGACTGTCTAGGTGTTTGAGTCCCAAAGTGCACTGGCCCACTGACATTCACAAAAACATTTCTAATAGGGGAGTTTATAACAAGCAGAATGCTGTTGCTGCCTGCAACACATGCCCCTTCATTTCCTCTAATTTGATATAATATAAATAAATACTCTGTGGCTCCTGAAAGGAACTCCAAAGCTCTGGGTTGCAGATCATGTGTTCCAAATAAAGCACCTCTCTCAAGTCCCAAATGCCTCAACCCTTTGGGCTAAGGAAGGTAATTGTCAGTTGCCAAGGAGAAGGGTCAAAGGGAGCAAGTGGGCTTTTTCCTGTATTTGTCTAGGAGAATAAACATGAGGACTCGAATACTCCACTAGGATCTCAAGGTTTCGACAAAGCAAAAGCCTGTGAGATGGTTCTGATGCTTGCTCATGAAGGACTGAAATTGTTGTGCCAGAAAAGCAGCACATTTAAATCATATACCCTCATGCCATCAGAAAGCAGATGTGGAAACATCTGTACCTACTACCAAGAGTATAAGGAGAAGGCAGAGAAGTTGAAGCAATCCTTTGCATTTCTGTTGGGGGGGAAATACATATTGTCTGTTTAATACTTTGGCCCTACTTTGGATGCTGTTCATTGTAGGGTATTTATTTATACAGTGAACAATAAGATAAAGTTAGTCTGGCATGGCATGTCAGATCAGAAGAAAGCTGTGCTCCCACTTTGTGATCACAACATTTTTTCCAGCACTCAGACTGCTTAAGGATTCATTCAGGAACCTTCAGTATACCTGAAGGAGCGTCTCCACCTCCATTGTTCTGCCCGGACACTGAGGTCCAGCGCCGAGGGCCTTCTGGCAGTTCCCTCCCTGCAAGAAGCAAAGCTATAGGGAACCAGGTAGAGGACCTTCTTGGTAGTGGCGCCCACCCTGTGGAAACCCTCCCACCAGATGTCAAAGAGATAAACAACTATCTGATGTTTAGAAGACATTTGAAGGTAAGCCCTGTTTAGGGAAGTTTTTAATGTATTTTTAATCTTTTGTTGGAAGCCACCCTGAGTGGCTGGGGAAACCCAACCAGATGGGCAGGGTACAAATATTATATTATTATTATTATTATTATTATTATTATTATTATTACAGGAATGAACATCAAGTTCAGTAGATGCCTACAGCCCCGCCACACACACCTTTTTAAAGGGGGGGGGATATGTGCTCACCTCAAGTCTCATAGCACCCACTCCCCAAGGTTTATAAAATTCTGCATGGAAAATCGATAGTGGGGGGAAACTGACAGGTTCATTCCCACCTACCCAATAAAACTAGAACAGGGTCACATTGATGGATAAGATAATCAGGACAGTCAACAGAAGTGCTGAAAGTCAGCCGTCCTCACGATACACCTCCACAGCCTTCTCTTACAGTGCTGGGAAACAGGGTCTATGCCACAAGACATGTGCGATTCCAGCATTGTGAGCCTTTACAAGAACAAATGTGACCACCAGGACTGTAACAACTACCATGGAATCCCCTTGTTGAATATTGTGGGGAAACCCTTCGACTGTGTAGTTCTCAACAGACTACAGTCACTCGCTGACGGGGCTTATCCCAAGTCACAATGCAGCTGAGATGGGTTTCTCATTGTGCCAGCTGCAGGAGTGATGCTGAGGGCAGAAATGTCCCTTGTACATTGCCCTCATAGACCTGACGAAGGCTTTTGACCTCATCGGTTGAAGCAGGCTCTTCACACTTCTCAACAAGGTAGAATAAGCTCCACAAGATGATTGTCTCCTTTCACAAGAACATGCATGGAGACATCCAGTATGACGGTTCATCCTTGGATGCCTTCTCTATAAAGATCAATGTGAAACAGGGTTATATTCTTACCTCAATTCTTTGGCATATTTCTCTCTCTGTTCTTTTCACATGCCATCAGTTCCACTGAAGATGGTGTGTACTTCCATTCAAGGAGTGATGGAAGAGGGTCTTTTTCAGCCGGAACTCACCGGAACTTAGTTCCAGCACCTCTCAGGTGTGTGCCATTGCCATTCTAAGAGAATGAGGGTGTTGCTCATGGTGAGTTCTGGCACCTCTTTTTCTAGAAAAAAATAACACTGAAAGGGGGTCTATTCAATTGGGTCTATTCAACTCCATGCCAAAAGTGTAGAGAGTTCTTATCTGTGAGATGTTGCTTGCAGATGACGCAGCCTTGACAATGCACTCCGAGGAGGCTCTACAAGGACTCATCAACCATCAATCAGCCTGACAAAGACCAATATCTTCGTCAGGACATCACCATCATTCCACGCATCAGCACTGGTGACCACACACTTGAGGTGGTAGACACAATTAATCCTGAACGCACAAGGAGCATAAAGTTGTATATTTACAAGTATGTTATTGCCATATTCATGCATTTAGGTTATATTTGTAACACCTTTGGTTTATATCTAAAATTAACATGTTAAGTGGCACCGAAATAAGCTGCTAAAACATCCAGTTCATGGCCACCAAATGCCTACCCCAAGACTAGGATTGTTTTATAACAACAAAATGTGGGCTTTTTAACAAGTTTAAAAAGTCAACCAAAATTTGAGGCAGATGAATATACAATCTGAGCACAAGGAGGCACCTAAGAAAATAAGCAAAGCTGGTAAAGAGATTAGGAGTTTTTAGTATCTGTGTTAGTTTTCAGTAGCTTTATCATGTCCTTTGGTGCTTAACAGATCAATGTATATTTCACATTTTATTTTACTGTTGGGATTATTATTACTAGAAAGCTTGCCAGTCACACATCACGCTTTGTTTCTCACCCCAGAACCTAAGCACCCCAAAATCAAAATTATTTTAGGAAACTGTTTAGCTTTTGTGGCTTTAGCAAAAAATAATAATAATGAAGTAACATAACTATTGGTTTCCTAAGTGAAAGGCATAGGCTTCCTTTGATTAAAAATTTCTTTGGATGGCTCTAAGTATTTTAAAGAGATTGTAATGATCTTTAAATCACAGATAACTCAACCCATAAAGTGAAAATTTGGTTTTCTTCATAATGATGTTTCTTGTCAACTGTTGGGAATGGTCTTCAGTCAATTCAATACATAATAGCCAAAGTAAATAGGATAATTCACAATAGGCAAACCAATCCTTCTAACCATTCCTTTGGAAATCTTCATGGGGTTGACAGGAGAGGTTGTTGAGAAACTGACAAGCTCTACATCTATGTCAATTACATCCCCCCACCAGTGTTTTCAATAATATGTGATTTTTAACCCTAAGTGGCTAAAAACAGGCCATCTCCTAAATACATTAAAGGCTTCTCCAGCTTTCTTCCAGGGGCTTACTCAGCAAGCTTGCAAGCTAGCAGACAAACAAACAAAACCCTAGAATCTAGTGCTCTAAAGAATGGAACCAGAGTGAAGCAGGGTGCTAATTGCTAAATTGGTGCAAAGAAGAAAGAATTCCAACTGGAACAAATGCAAAGAAAAGTCAGTACAATTAATGACACTATCCACAGTCCACTTTGTGCCACAGTCGATTAAAGAGCTAAGGGGGCACATTTGCAGAGGAGAACTGTTCTTCCACCTGCCAACTGACCCTTGCAAATGTTTCCCAGGGACTGCCATTTTCTCTAATGCCCCACCCAGCTTTGGGGCGACACTATATTGGGATGTAGTGTAATTCCAGGGGCATTGTTGGGGGGTAAATGGTACCCCTGACTCTCTTAGTGTATTCCAAGGGGGTGTTTATGGTTGTTGGTTCAATTGCGAATCTACATTAAAAAAACACACACAAAAACAGTCGAAATATATATAAAAATAAAATCATTGTCCAGTAGCACCTTAGAGACTGTGGCATTCATACAGAGCCCCCAGTCGTCTCACGGACTATTGACCCGTACACCACTAATCCGCTGCCACCAACCAGATCCTCCCCGGTAAATCACTTAGTCTCAGTCAGGTTCTCAAGTTAAGGAAGAAGAGTGTAGTTTATTGCAGACACAAATAAACTTTAACTGCCTTCAATATGTTGTTACTCTTTACCTTCTTAGTCTTATTTTATCCTGTCTCTATCTCTTCCACTTCCCCTCACACAAGAACCAACTGCACTAACTGTCTCTCTATTTCCAACTGTCTGCCAACTGCTTTTCCAACTGCCTTTCCCAACCAACCAACCCACTAAAACAACCAACTACCCACCTAAACCAAACCTCGGGCTAAGCCCTTTTATAAACAGGTAGGCTCCGCCTCCGGCTTTCCTATTGGTCTACATATTAACCCTTTCTCTCCCCCTGTACAGACATTTTCAAATGAGAGGGCAAACGCCACATCGACCAACTAAAACAGTGGTAGTTTAAAAGAGGAAAGGCTGCTACTACCACTGCTTTTCTATGTATGCTACCTACCTCCACCCCAAATTGCTATATTTTCCCCCAGTTGCCCATACAATTCCTTGTTATTTTGGAAAGATGTAGAGCCTTTAGCTGATTTAATATCAGAACACCACCCTGCAACACACATTGTTGCCAAATCATAGACCAAGCTACCATCTCTTCTACCTAAGCATTCATATACCTTTACCGGGATACTGTGATGGCTTATGTTTGTACCTATCACACCTTGCTTCATCCTGAAATACTTAACTTAAAGCATCCAAGTCTTTTGTTTTCAATGGAACTTAGGCAGGCCAACTTTTCTCTAGCTGGCATTCTTTGACTTGAGTGAGGAATTAGGTTTTCTGTTTCCAGAGTTAGCATCAGGAGGCAGAAGCTTATAAACAAAACAAACCTGCATTGCCTTCCATTCAAATGGATTAAAAGTAATGGGAATTGTCCAATAGTGCCCTATTTTTGCAATTTTCAAATTAATCAGAAGACTTGAGTTCTCCTTGACTCCTGTCACCAGTAGTTGGCTTCAGGATCCTTCCCCCAGAACTTTGATGAAGACTTTTAGGGGGTGGGGGAGGGAGTCTAAGAATATATTTTTGGAGTGTTCAGGTTACCATCTAGCATTACAAGTTGATGGGTATTAGGTGTCATATCATCTGTTTTGCTTCTTTGGCAATCTAGCCATTTGGGAAAATGATAGCCTTAGCATATTTGAAAATCAGTATTTAATGCCCTTTTTAGTTAATTTGCCTACGGATAACTTTTATAACAGAAAGATTATTCTCTCAGCAGGTCACTTTAATGTATCCTTTCCATCTGCATTCCCCCTGGTTCTCGTATTAGTTACATGATTTCCTGAATCTGACCTCCATTATTTCCCTTGCTGGTATGTGGTTGGCGTAATATATTCTAATGAAGTGTAGGTAAAAGGGGATCGTAAACTTGATCCGAGGTACAATGAGCCAAAAGTTATCTCCTTGGGAAAGTGATCAAGTAACAAGAAATCCTAGCTGATTAGTAGGTGGCTTAATACTGAGCCGGCCATTATAAATAAGAACCTATGCAAATCATGAAATAATTCAGCATGTGGGTCCCAAGTGGCTTAAAAGAAAGCACTGCAGTAGACAATAATTTGCTAACAGATGTCACACTGAATACTGCAATATCTTTAAAGAAGTTATTATTATTCTAGGGAAGGCTTTACACCCTGTTGCTCCATAGACTAATTCAGTCCAACAAAACTGAAATACTATAACCCCACTGATTTGCATGTGCTTGCCAGAGCAACAAGCCAAAAATTTGCTGAGTTATTTTTAAGGCCAATGTGCCTCTGGGCCTAGCACACACATAGAGTTCCTGCTGGAGTGGCGCTAAAACTTCTCAGAGGACATTCTTCCAAGAACATTTATGAGCTTCTGCATGTCCTCCCCCCTTCGGCCCTTGCCCCCAACCACTTTGAAAAAAAGATCACTTTGAAGAATTCTGCCGAGCTCTTTTGTCAGCGCAATGCCCCCACAAGCCCATTTTAAAGCGGTTATTATTTTCATTTGCATAGCAGAATAATGCAGAGCAGGAACGTTATGTTTCAGAATGATTTGAGCATCTAAGAAGAGCCTACTGGACCTGCCCAATGAACCACCTAGTCCAGCATCCTGTAAGAAGTCCACAAAGCCATTTCCCGTTCCTGGGGAGATGATGTTGTGGGCTGGGAGCAAGCCCTGCCCACGCGCATGGGGCAGGATAGCCTCTGCGCCATTGGATGGTCCTCGGCCACGTCATCCTTAGGTCGTCCAATCCGGATGGTCCAGGGGCATGGCACAGGCTGAGGACTTGCCCCTGGAGTATTAGGTTGAAGGGGAGGGGAAGTAGTGGCCATCACCTACCCCTCCTAATTCAAGGGTATTCTGTTAAAGGAATCCTGGGGGCGTGGTCTCTGTCTGAAGCCTCAGACAGGGGGCTAGGGCCATGGCACGACCCCTAGCAGTGACACTGGGGGAGTTCCTAGTTGATGTGCATCAGCAGGGCTCCCCCTACTGGTGGTTAACCCTTCTAAGACTCCTGCAGACGGGCAGGAGTCAGATATAGTTGTGTGGTTTCCAATGCCTAAACCAATACCACTCACATTTCGTAACCAATCAAGTTGTGGCCTTTTTCGCCCATTAACCTAAAATACTGTTCCATGTGTCTTTATTCCACTTCCTGGGAGGGTTTGGGACCAAGACCCAAGCACAATAGCACTCTCCCTTCCTTCTTTCCATCAACTGGTTTTCAGCAACATACTGCTTCATTCAAATCATCATTCATTTTTCCTTGAAATTATTATTATTATTACCCCAGCCACTCTGTGCAGCTCCTAACAGAAGAAGAAGAAGAAGAGTTTGGATTTGATATCCCGCCTTTCACTCCCCTTCAGGAGTCTCAAAGCGGCTAACATTCTCCTTTCCCTTCCTCCCCCACAACAAACACTCTGTGAGGTGAGTGGGGCTGAGAGACTTCAAAGAAGTGTGACTGGCCCAAGGTCACCCAGCAGCTGCATGTGGAGGAGCGGAGACGCGAACCCGGTTCCCCAGATTAGGAGTCTACCGCTCTTAACCACTACACCACACTGGCTCTCAACAGAACATTAAAACACAATAAAACATTGAACATTAAAAACTTCCCTAAACAGGGCTGCTTTCAGATGTCTTCTAAAATTCAGATATCTGAAAGCAGCCCTGTTTAGGGAAGTTTAGGGATGCTTTCATTTTCCTACTCATCTTGAAATACTGCCCCTCAATGAGGCCAAACTTAGATTCACAAAATGTTTAGGGGTATGCATACCCCTGCGTTCCCCCAGAAAACAATCTCTCTCCCTCCCTCCCCCTCTCTCTCCCTCTCTCCTTCTTTCTTTCTCTCTCTGTGTGTACACACACACACACCCTTTTAACTTTTTTTGGTATTCTTTTTTCAGACTTTTTATTGGAAGTATAAAAAGTACATAATTATATGTGCACTAAACATGGTGAGATGTAAATAAAAGAGAGAGAAAGAAAAAGAGAAACAGCACTCGTGTAGAAGGGAAAGTAAAGGGGGGTGAGGGGAAAAAACCCCAAAATATACACTTTACAAAGTTGTTATTGTACTTCACCAGATCTTAACCTATTACAATATTTGTAAGTATGGATTACAAATATCGTTGAATTTGTCCATGGCAAGTCTGTGTTTATATGCAAGTTGTTCACATGTTGCAAATTTGTATAAGTTTTCAATCCAATCGTAGAAGGGAGCCACATTTTTATTTTAATTGGGGGGGGGGGAATAGTTGTATAAGATCGGGAAAATTCTAACCACCTAGAGGCAGACCTTTCGGGGGGAAACTGAAGCATCCTATGATGAGGAAAAGACTAACCTGCTAGTTGAATGTCTGGGCATCTGAAGATAGTCAAATTTACATGTCAGCTTCAGATTAGACTCCCACATTCCACAACTAAACATATCAGCAACTCGGCACATATATCCAGTGTAAAATCTTTAACTAAAAAGCTACATTTTTCCACAAGTCTCCTCTTTTCTCCCAGTGCCATCTCAGATCTCCTAATTTTTAGAACCAACATCATTATTCTTCATTATGGCTAAACTCATATAGACAAATAAATCAAGATTTGTCTATTGCCTGACTCCAGGTTTGAGTTATAGCTTTCCATAGGCCAATAGTCATATTATTATTTTTTATCATAATTTATTGATTCCGTGTATATTTGGCCAATTTCTAACTAGCTCCTGCAGGATTTTTAAAACACAGACAAATAAAACCGCATGTGGCAAATTTATGTAAAACTGCTCTGCATAATGAAGCTTTTATTTTACTTATGCTTTAGTCTTTGCAAGACACTGAGCATGAATTATTTTTGCAACATTTCCATGAAAAATTGGGGCACGTCCAGTTAGCAGCTTCCTGTAGCCTCATTTGTCTCATGAGCACTAAAGCATGGGATGTTGACAACACAGGTACTTTGAAGAAGCAGTTTGATATGTGGTGGTCCCTAGTATAGGCAAGGTCACAGATTTACCTGACCAAGGGCCAAAGAATGGGTACCCCCCAAGTCAGGATGAGTGAAGCTGTCAATTTCAGTTTCTCTCCATTTCTCATTTTTTGAACCTTTAGTTCAATTCTTCATCATTTTTTAAAGTCCTCGTGAAAACCCATCCCTAGGATAACAGACCCTTCACCCCCATTTAACTTACTGCACTGAAATTTTTTAAAGGGTTTAATATATACTTCAAGTGTTCAAAAATATTTGCTCTAGAGCAAATAGTATTTGGCATATAAATAGCATTGGAAATCCTGTGCAGTAAGCCATATTTTAAAAAGCGCATTGGGAAAGTTTTGAGGTTCGCTTAAGGAGGAAGAAGGGGTGTTAAAGAGAAGATGTCTGGGAGCACCACTTAAGTAGAGTTTGAATTGGATATCCCACTTTATCACTACCCGAAGGAGTCTCAAAGCGGCTAACATTCTCCTTTCCCTTCCTCCCCTACAACAAACACTCTGTGAGGGGAGTGGGGCTGAGAGACTTCAAAGAAGTATGACTAGCCCAAGGTCACCCAGCAGCTGCATGTGGAGGAGTGGAGACGTGAACCCGGTTCACCAGATTACAAGTCTACCGCTCTTAACCACTACACCACACTTGGGCTCTATGGCCTTCTGGCAAAGTTCTGCATTCACATTCTGGAATGATTTTGGAAAGAATCTGCTATATATACATCTGATGGGGTGAGAGAGAGTCACCCTATGAAGATCTACCAGTGAATGTGTGGACAGAGGAATGAGAATCATACCCACTATTGCCATCTCTGACCTCCACACATTCAAGATCCATTTGCGCAGTGCAGGGGCCTTCAAATGGAGGGTACCATACCTTCCAACATTTCTCCGATGAAAATAAGAACATCCTATTCCATGCCCTCTGATATTTCTCCGATGAAAATAGAGACACCCCCTCCAACATTTATCTGATGAAAATAGGGGCAACCTAAGGTAGAGTTCCCATACTTCCTGATTTTCCTGGAAATATATGAAATACTGCAGTCGGTAGCAGTATCTGGCCAAAATCAGAAAATCCGGGAAAATGTCTGGGAAAATCCAGATGTATGGTAGCCCATGTCGGCAGTGCTGTTTCCCCATAAAAATAGCTAAGAAATGGCAATTTTTAAAGCGATTTTGCCCAAGAAGCTCAACAACTTTGGACAAAACTAAAAAATGCTCAACTTTGCAAAAAAAGAAAAAAAGGGGAAAAAAAGAAGCTCAACAACTCAACTTTTCTGTCCAGATTTTCACTGTTTGAAATATGGCAACCCTAACCTAAGGAAGTGTGTGACATTTCGGGATCCAATCAGAAACCAGGATGGCTTCTATAAATCTGGGACTGGCCCTGGAAAATAGGGAGACTTGGAGGGTCTGGGGTACACAGCATGCTTAGGGAACCTTTAAAGCCCTATACGGCCTAGGACCCTCTTACCTACAGGACCGCCTCTCCTGGTATGTCCCACAGAGGACCTTATGGTCTTCAAATAAAAACATCTTGGAGGT